CTACATGTCCAAAGCGATTTGATCTCTACGAGACTTCCACTCATCTCTTGAGGCATTTTGTTCTCTTTGTGTTTGGTTTTGAGTGAAATCAACAATGTCGTTGTCTTCTTCAATTCTCTCTTCACCATCATCCTCATTAATATTCATGTTCGCATTAAGCAAATCATCGTTTGGATCAACTGTTGCAATGTAGTTATGGAGAACCGTGCATGCCAAAACAATGTCAACTTGTGTGGGGAAGGGGTAGTAGGGTTTTACCGTGAGAATCTTGAAGCGGTTCTTCGAAATACCAAAGGTAGCTTCAATCTTTGACATCAAAGATAAATGTCTAAGATGGAATAACTCCCTCCTATTTTGAGGTATTTTCCCTGTAAATTCCTTTAAATGATAACGAACACCATGAAGGGGATATAAAACCTGGCATGGTTGTGTACCACGCATCGTACAAGTAATATTTGCTTGCATATTATATACATAAATTTTTATGAGATATGGCTATGTAAATATTGGTGAGGAATATAAATAATTGGGTAATTAATTTGAGGAGTTAACAAAAATGTTACCAGTGTAGACTCTTAAGCCATATGGTTGTAGTCTAGATAAAGCATCTTGAAAGATTCTATAGTCATTTGCAGACCCCTCCTACCCAGCTAATACGTAGGTGAACAATTTTTTTGGTGTACAAGTGGCAAGAATATGTTGTGTGGCGCCTTTGCGCCCTCTAAATCGTGCAACAAGACTAGCATGTAGCATAGCATCCACATGTGTCACATCTATCATACCTATACAATCCTATAGAGTACATCAACTTACTATGTTAATATGAGATATTATTTGATTAGACAAGTATTTGCTTAATTTTATAGTGTGGATGATGTTGGCCTTCTTGTTTTGATGGTGATTTACAAACAATTTACTACTAATGTTGTTTGTCTAGTGTTTGTGCATTCCTATGTTTTGTAGACAAACAACGTAGTTGGAGGATGGATGGAATAGAGCTTCAACGATGATATCCAAAGGAGGTTGGCGGAATGTCGGGTTGAAGCCTATACAATTCAAGTTAAAGATCAAGTTCAAGCTACAATTCATTAAAGGAGGTTGGTGCTCTTTGATTTAAGGACTAACCGCCTTGAGTTAAAGATCCAAGTTATTTTTTTTGTGCTAATCTTAGTTTGATTGCATTTGTCTTGCTTGCACTCTTATATAGTTATCATGGTCATGAAGCATGCACTTTTGTTAGGCTATGAATCTAATGTTGCTCCTAAATTCATTAATTTTTTCTATGCACAATGGGCTACTAGATTTAAACTTTTTGTGCAATCTAAAAATATTGATTTATGGGGACTTATATTGTGCCCATTTTGGAGAAATCCAAGTGGAATAAAAATGATCGTCGTATGTTTACAATGAACAATATTTTGTTAGAATATTTGCTAAATGCTTTTAATTCATCTATGTCTAACAAGTTTGTTCATTTTGATAGTGCTTACAAAGTTTGGAAATTTATAGAAGCACATCAAGGGGACTTGGAGGCGATCCAACAAGCTTTGGAGGATCTAACTTCAAGTTCATACGGAGCAACATGCACACGGCCACTAGGCGATAGCCCTAGTGAGGTTTGCGAGTTCGAACCCGATAATGATTTATCTAGTGATGAACTTGCTTGTGCTAGTGAAAAATTATTTCATGCCTATAAAAAATTGCAAAATGATTTTAATGATTTAAAAAGCAAGCATGATGTTTTAAAATCCGATCATGAGAAGCTAGTGTCCAAATTTAATGTCATTAAAAATGAAAATACTATGCTTAAAGAAAGCAATGACTTATTAAATTTGAAAAATGGAAATTTGATTTTATCTATTGCTAGCCTATCTCATGCTAAGATTGATGTCATGATAGAAGTAGAGAACATAAAGAATGATACAGGTTCTTTTATAAATAACTATTTATGTTCTACTTCTAAAAATGCATATGTGCCTAAAAATGAAGATTTGAATCTTATAAAAAATAGTATTTCATCTTTAGATTCAACTTTGAAAATATGCATCAATAATCATAAGAAACTTATGGACTTGTGTGCAAAGTCAAATGCAAACTCTTCTAAGAAACATATACACCATGCACACTTGTATAGCAAAGTTTACAAATGCTCTATTTGTGGTCGTAAAGGCCATTTATCTAAATTTTGCTATGATGCACAAAAATCTAAAAAAAGTAATATCAATGCTTCTTGTGCATCTCATAAGGCTTCTTCATCACACACACATGTACATGCACACACTCATAAAGTTCATCACAAGCATGCTCATGTGTATAGATGTGATCATTGTGGTAGATTTGGTCATTTGGCCAAATTTTGTTTTGATTTAAAGAAAGTTTCACATTTGCAAAACAATTTTAAAAGCCCATCCATGTTTGCAAATGTTTCTAATGTTTCCCGTGCACAACCGTTTGGTCAACATAAGCAAATGCTTCCTTTCCATTGTACTCATTGCAATCGGAAGGGTCATTTGAGTAATTTTTGTTATGACCGTGTTCGTGCACCATATGCGCCTAAGAGGGTTCATAACCCTAGGGCTTTGAGCTTTATTGATAGGGGTCATGTCCCTAAACAATCCGGCACCAAGAATGTTTGGGTGCCAAAATAATTTTTAAACCAAGAATTTTAGTGTTTTTATTTTTCTCTTTCTTGGTTTTGAAAAATGCATTTTAAACTTTTATGAAAACAATTCCTTTTATTGGCTAAATTCTTTTGTTTTCATGATCATTGGTTTTGCTTTAATGAGAGGTTTGCATTTATATAACCCTCCGGGTTTATTGGGTGTTTATTCCCAAATCATGTTTACCGGATGCTAGAATGATTATATGGGTTAGAACAAGCTTAAGAGCTTGATATATTGTTGCCTCTCTTGAAATTCTTTTGTTAAAGATTTTGTTTTGATTTGTTGCTTTGAATTCATTATATTTCACTTATATGATGATATTTATATGTTTGTGCTCATGGATCATCTATTCGTGCCTTATAATGTATTCCATATGTGGTTTGATCAAATCCCACAAAGGAGATTCTATTTTTGATCAAACATGGGTTTTGGACTCAAATCTTGATTTATGATTTCTTTTGGTTGATTTGTTTTCATTTGAAAACTTTTTGCATGACTCTCATGTTCCTCTTCTTTGATTTCATAAATCTATTCTTTTATATGGTTTCTATATTTTTTGTGCTAATGAGACACTTCTTTCACATTGATATATTCATATGTGTTCTCATTGTCTTTAAGTATGTGAGTTGTGTTTAGCATATTTTCCATCTATGCTTGCTCACATATGTTTGCCATGATCTTCATTGCATATATTCTAGTTGTAGGCTTTGGAAATACGAGCTTGATATAGTTCAATCTGTTGTTGAGCTTGGAGTCTCTTGTCGTCTAAAGCTTCGAGTTCCTGCAAGCGTCGTTGGTGTTTCTCTTCGTCTGTTAGTCCAGTTTGTTGGCCTTCTTGTTTTGATGATGATTTACAAACAATTTACTACTAATGTTGTTTGTCTAGTGTTTGTGCATTCCTATGTTTTGTAGACAAACAACGTAGTTGGAGGATGGATGGAATAGAGCTTCAACGATGATATCCAAAGGAGGTTGACGGAATGTCGGGTTGAAGCCTATACAATTCAAGTTAAAGATCAAGTTCAACCTTCATCCGCACGTGTACCAAGTCAAGCTTAATTGAAGATCAAGATTGCTTGGGTAATGTAGTTTAGGATTTATATTATGTGTGTTAAGTACGTTAAGCGCAATATCTATACACACACATTATGTTGGTTTTCATATATATTTGTGGAGTGAAGCAACATACAATTCAAGTTAAAGATCAAGTTCAAGCTTCATCCGCATGTGTACCAAGTTGAGCTACAATGAAGATCAAGATCAAGCTTGGGTAAATTAGTTTTAGGTTTTATATTATGTGTGTTAGTACTTTAAGCTCAATCATATACACACATACACGTTTTGGTTTTTGTATATATATAGTTATATATATACATATATGTTTTGGTTTGATAGTTTTCAAGTTTTACTATGAAACAAATGAATAGAATTGGAAAATACTATTTTGTTTCATGTTTATATGCCTATATATGATTTCACCTTTAACAAGCTTATATTTAATGAAATCATATTTAGTGTTTTGAATATATTGCATAGAATATGCAATTTTATGAAAATATTGTATTTCTAGGTTATAGACTTCATAACAACATGTTATATCTTTTATCAAGTCTATACAATCATTTCATAAGGTTTCAAAATGTTGTTTAAGTCAAAATATCAAAATATCAATTTTCAGGTTTTTATGTTTTTCAACATATTTGTAAAATGATGATATTTTACATTTGGGAAGTCCTTTCTGATAACCAGTCACTGTAGCATGTTTATTATCATGTCTACAATCATCCCCCAAAGTTGTACATTTTTTGGAATTTATTTGATATTTTTAAACAGCATTTTAAAATCAGCAAAACAGTTTTCAGAACCTGTCATATCAGTTTTCGGTCAACCGCACCGGTCGACCGCTCGTTTGTTCTTTCAACAGTAGGCTCTAGAGAGTTCGTCGGTCAACCGCCATGGTCGACCGAGAGCTTCCTTCGGTCGACCGCACCGGTCGACCGGATAAGTCAGCTTTTGTTCTTCTCGTTTTGACCTGGATAGCAGTCGACCGGACTTTTCCGTATGTCGACCGAACTTCTCCATCGGTCGACCGACAGAATTTTTGGTCGACCAACAATAAATCCGTTAGACACTAACGGCTATTTTTCTGAGCTGTCTTCTGGGGACTTTTCTGTCTTTTTGCTTGGGGTTTTTTTTTTTGGCTGAGTTGTGAGAGGGTATAAATACCCCATTGCTGATCTCTTCTAAATTATCCAAGAATATTTTAAAAGAAGTTTTTAAACAAGGGTTTTAAAAAGAGTTTAAGCTTGTTTAAGCTTGTTTAAGGGTTTAGTTTAAAGCTGTTTTAGTTTTCACAAGTAGAGGAGATCATCTTCTTGTTTGGGCTTCAATCTCCATCTCTCCATCTTGTTATTCAGAGAAGAATCTCTAAACTCATTTCTAGCTATTTATTATTTTGTTTATAATTTCTATATGCTAGATTTTAATTGAGTTTAGTTTTGATTTTGATTTCACTCATTGTTTACACACACCCACTTGAGCTTATTGTATTTGCATACATAGTATATTAGGGTTGTGAAAGATTGTAACATTGAGTTGTGCTTAATTGAGTTCTCATCCATAGTTGAGAACAATCATTTGTTATATTGTGCTTATTGTGAGATTCACTTTGTAATACACTTGTACACCGAGACATATTATACACATAATTTTTTATGAGATATGACTGTGTAAATATTAGTGAGGAATATTAATAATTAGGTAACTAATTTAAGGAGT